AAAATGCGGTCAACCGGCGAGCACCCACCACCACCGCGGTAATGACCGCGGTGCACCACCCGTTTGATTTCCTACTCTTCCCTTACATACCTACTTGTCTTAACAGTTTAAAATAAAATGAAAGACATACCTGTCTTTGGGTTTCTGTATTGTAGTAGAAAACAAATCATCTTCATCATCATCAAAAAGTACACTACTTGCAGCTTTCTTTGCCTAACAAAGAAAAGTTATCAATCAATGTGAGCAAAATGCAATTATATATTCACCTAAGCTGACATCAACATTTAATGTGTATCAGTTTTGGCTCAATCTTCATAAGCCTTTCAAACATTGTAGACCTAAGAAACTAGGACCACCAACTAAGCAAGCTGTTTCTGTTTCCCTGACAATTGTTATTAAAAGTCTGTGACACCTGAGAGTGAATGCCTGCAAAGTAGCAGACTTCATTTAAACTTGTAAAAACACTTAAATGATAAAATGTGTTTTGTCTACCTCATAAATTGTGGGACCAATGGATAATTTTTTCACCAGGCAAGTTGAAAGAACAACCTTCACATACTTTGCAGTCCTTGTAAGAAACGTTGTGTGTGCGATTGGACTAATCTTGAACAATTTTGTTATTACGCAGGCATAGAGCACAATTACAGATTAGCAATGAGGGTAGGTTTTAACAGCTGATTCCAGAGCAATGCTGGAGGGACTGGGCTTGTAGCACTTTGTTCATTTTTTAAAATCTTGCTCTAAGAAACGTTGTGACGCTAATTCATATGGTTCTCATAATTTTAAGGATAGATGCAGTTTGTAATACCGGTAGTGTTTTATTTAATTTTCACTTTTTATACTGAACACTGCATTATTTTATATTGCGTAATACAAATGATAGCTATCACACACCTTTGTATCATTCTTAGTTTGCTGTCTTCTTGGCGTCGATTTTGTAGATGAGGATGTACTAAATAAATCATCATCATCGTCATCATCATCAAATATGTCACTTGCTGTCTTCTTGGTTTTACTGAAATAGACAAGAAAAATTTAAGTATGCGAAAGATGGGTGAGAGACGGAGGAGAGTAATTCTCATCTCAGATGTAAGTTTTCCATTATTACAGGTCACTGTGAATTGATATCGGAGTTTATATATCCATCACCAACAAGCCATGCATGGCACAGTCCCGGTTAGTTATCAAATTTAAGATATATAGTTTTGTTTATAGTAATATAGCTGGAATATAACCATGTCAGGAATATGATTTTTAACATTAAAATGATTGACATTTGTATCTGATCGTCAGACAAGTACTTGTCCATATTGAGAGATATTGCTCTGGAACAGCATTCAAAATCAGCCATTTTGAATACGTGTATATTATATAACATGATGTATAACGAATATATAAAATTTGAATATAATCAGTCAAACATTTAAGAGATATGGCTCTAGAAACCCAATCATTAAAGCAAAATGGCCGTCAGTCAGCCATTTTAAATCCAATCTGAAAAATAAAATGACGTGCATCAGAAACCTGTAATGTCTAATGTATGTACCATGTTTGAACGAAATCCATCCATAAATGCCAGAAATCATTGATATATGATGATTTTTTAGCACAAAAATGACCATCATTCGGAATAGGATCGTCAAACCAATATATTTCTTTATCTATGACATGATGTATAATGAATATTAAAAATTTTAATATAATCAGTCAAAAGAAGTTGGAGATATGGGTCCAGGAGCCCATTCATTAAAACAAAATGGCCACCAGACAGCCATTTTGAATCCGATCTGAAAAAATAAATGGTGTGCATCAGGAACCTGTAATGTCTAATATATGTACCAAGTTTGAACAAAATCCATCCATAAATGCCAGAAATGCTTGATATTTGATGATTTTTTTAGCACAAAAATGGCCACCATTTCGCCATTTTGAATAGGATCGTCAAACCAATATATCTGTCTATTTATGACATGATGTATAATGAATATTTAAAATTTGAACATAATCAGTGAAAGCAAATTAGACATATGGCATGAGAACCACATTCATTCGGCCATTTTGAATCTTATCTGAAAAACAAAATTATTTGCATCAAGGTCCCATAATGTCTAATGTATATACCAAGTTTAAACAAAATCCGTCTGTAAACAGCCGAGAAAAGCTTGATTTTTAGGATTTTCTAGAACAAAAATGGCCGATATTCAGCCATCTTGAATCAGATCGTGAAACAAAATGATGTGCATCAAGGTCCTATAATGTCTAATGTATATTTGAACAAAATCCATCTGTAAACAGCCGAAAAATGCTTGATTTTGATGATTTTTAGCACAAAAATGGCTGCCATTCGACCATCTTGAATCAGATCGTGAAACAAATTGACGTGCATATGTATAATATCATGTATGATGTATGTGTGAAGTTTGATTGTGATTGGTCCAGGCATTTCTAAGATACAGGTCCGGACGCACGCAGACGCACGCACGCATGCACAGACACACGGAGGTCAAAACATAAGTCCCCGTTTTCGGACTGCGTCCGAACGGGGACTAAAAACAATGTAATTTAGCATTTGCGATAATTACAATTGTTCTTAAATGATTTGCATACATTCAAAACATGTCTTTTCTTTGATTACATGAACTCAAACTGTCACGAAGAAAAAAAA